TTCTAGTTCTCACAGATAGTATCTGAGTTAGAATTAAATCATTATTATAATAACTAATTGCCAGGGCTATTGCCTTTAAACAGGATTTCTGTGGGGTCTTAAAATATCTTAGATTCCCAAATCTAAATTTTAGGCCTTAAAAATCTTAAATTTACTGAAATATTGTGTTGTAGGTCTTAAATCTTTTTAAATAAGTCTTCATTTTCCTTTATGCATGTTCTGCTACCTAATCTGGTTAAAACTCATACAATCACCAACAATTCATTTGAATAAAACTTTTCATTCAGAAAGGTCATTTTCACTCTTTATCATAATGGTTTAATTACTTATAGCAACATTTGTTTAAACGTGCTCCATGTATTTACTGCTGAGGACAACGAACTGTACAGATTGTTGTGCATAGATTTAGTTTTTTATAGTTTTTAAAACATTTGTTCTTTTTAATATTTTATTATTAAATGTAATTATATACATTTTTATATAATTATATATAGGGCAAATAAAACTCTTTTCCATCTGGGGTATTTGAAAAATTCCTTAGCCTTTTAGCCTTTTATAAGTAAAAAAAATAACCCTGGTTTAAAGTATGTCAGAAAACGTGGATGTCCTAATTTTAAATATGATGGATACAATGGACACAAAAAATGAATTATTATAAAACATTGTACAGTTTTCTAAACTCGATGATGTTGCTGTGGGACGAAGTGAGGCAAAACAAACAAATTATAGTGGAACAATACCGTTTAGCATTGCACTGACTACAACTGGCCAACAAACTAGTTTAAAAATGTATTTTGCTGATTAAGAAATGGATTACAGCATGCTGATGATATGCAAACATTTGAGTGTGAAGTTTGTCAGTATTGATCATATTCTTCACGTACCAGCAGGCGCTGCCATTGGAATCTTTTTGCTAGAGACTTTTTTTAGAGAATGAATTTTTAGATCCTAAAAATAGTGTAAAGTCCCGTGCACACGAGACGTTTTTTTACTCGCGTTTGTCTACATATAAGGCCTTGTGACTATAGAAAGGGCGTCAATTTGACCGTGCACACTACTCACAAAACGCCAGGCGTAAAACCGTAATTTTTAAAGAAATGCCTCATGCTTGTTTTTTTATTTTATTTGATGCGCCGCGTTAAAACCTTCTTCACTAATCAGGTTGGCACTTTTGTTCAAATGCACGGAGCTGCTGAAGTTACAGTAAACAGCACATGGAGGTGCTCAAAACTGTCAATGCGAGCACACATTAAAGAAGATGCCAAGAGGCGATATCAACGTGGAGCTTCTTATTGCTCTGTGAACAATAATCATTTCTTCATCCCTAGAGGTGGAGCTGCTACATGAGCCATCCATGCTTGTTTGAGTCACCAGTAACTTTAACAACAATCGTGTGAACTTTCTCTCTTCTTCTTCTGTGTTTCAAGCGGGTGTTGGAAGCTTAAAGTTGTGTAGCGCCATCTAACGTCAATGAGTGATATTGCATACTCTTCTGCTTGATGCTAGTGAAAATAGCTTGGGTTTGAATGCAGAAAAACATCTCGTAAAAGGCTGACGATAAACGCACTTGAAAAAGCGTCCTGGTGTGTAGGAGCCTTTATGCTGCTTAGACATGGGATGATAACTGTTTGCAAGGTATACCGCAGTTTAGAAAAGTCAAGGTTTTAAAACTGCCAATATTTTCTGCTGTACTGTCCCTACTGTAAATGTAAGGATTTTTATCTTCTGTTAAATGTTTTTTAGGACAACAGTATCTCCAGCAGAAAAGATTTCCAAAGATGCCATTTTAAATCGTAAAGAAATCTGTGTTTATGAAACAAAAGAACACAGCAGAAGTCAATAATTTATTTGAATTATTCAGATTGACATGTTTACTGCTCCAAAATACTTTCAACGTTTCTCAAAAGAAAATATATTGTGTCAAAGGGAAAAATGTGTTTGTTTTTTATCCAGACATTTAAAGGAACATATTTTAGAGCAGTCATCAAAATACAGTGAAACCGTGATATTTTTTATATCGTGATATAAACCGTGACAAGGTTATCATACTGTCAAAATCTTATACTGGCCCATGCCTAATGCTGCTTGATGTTGTAGGGTCATTTATTATAATTTTATTGTTTGTTTTTTTTGTATGTATAGTAATGAACACACCAGTTTGTAGAGTAAGTAGTGTGACAATTTTCTGCCATTTATTATTCCTGGTCATTCCGGCTTTAAGAAAGGCCACTCAACTGAGACTGCCCTGCTCTCGGTCGTGGAGGATCTCAGACTGGCTAAAGCAGACTCTAAATCATCAGTCCTCATTTTGCTGGACTTGTCAGCTGCGAAAAAAAAAAAAAGAAAAAAAAAATCCTAATACTACTAATACTTCCCTTCTTAGACTTTACAGACCTGAAACTTGCCTACAGCACTTATTCATTGTTGCTCTTAGTTGTGTAAATTGTTTCCTTGTCCTCATTTGTAAGTCGCTTTGGATAAAAGCGTCTGCTAAATGACTAAATGTAAATGTAAATTTCTCCAATAGGCAACTGAATTGGAAGTTCTAAAACAATAGCATGAGATCTGGAGTCCGTTCTTCGTACGTGGATTACTCAATTAGCTGGATTTGGTTATTTTTGGATTTGGTTTTGGTTATCCAGGATTGTTTCAATCTTTAAAACTAATTTGAGACTTGTCATGGCAACAGTTCTGGTAGCTCAAACCTACTTGGGATCAGAAAAAAATATATATTAATAAAACCAATGCAATCTGCTCTCCAAAATAAAAGTAAAAAGACTGCCACCTAAGGGTTCAAATTGATTTTTTAAATATAATCTTTGTAGAAACAAATGTGTACATGCACAATATTTGACTTTTTTTTTAAAAAAAGGTAATAATTTATGCAGTCATACACGTGTTTTGACCACTAATATGCCGGTGATTGACACCTTTACCGATATGAAAATGCTTTTTTGATCCAAAATTAATTTATAAAGTTATTCTTTACGCTGATTAAAAAAATAAGTAGGCATAGGCTACTATAATAAAGAAAATTTTCTGTAAATGTAGACCTAAATACATTGATATGAATAGAAATACATGATGAATACTCTTGACTCATGAAAGCCTGCAGCTTAAAACAAATGTGTAAAGTTATTGCGTGTCATGTTTAACAAACCATTTACTGCTAATTTTATGTAATTTTGCTCACTTGGATAATTGAATATTAATCAGATGATGTCATTACGCTGCTGTGCCATCAGCCAATCGTTACATTGCTGATCATGATTTCGAGGATCGATAGATCAGTCCTGTTTGTTTTGTTTTGTATGTCCCTGTTTGTCCATGTACTCCTGTCCTGTTATCCTGAGAGCTGATGCTGAGTATTCTTAGGCATGTTCATACTGGAAATTGTTAACAATGGGTCATTCTAACCCTAGTTATACAATCCTGGGTTTTCTATAGTCACCATCCACACTGCTCATGCTATACCTGGGTGTTAATTACCAGACGTTTCACATTCGCAAACCCCCTGGTTAACATTATTATTTGTATATTTCCGTTGTCACTGTCCCTGATTGGACAAATAGCAGGTAACCTTTTTAGATGGCATTTCTGCATCTTTTCAGGTATATAAAATGTCATAACGTAGGTCATCTAAGCATCAGGAACTTGCACAAAGCCAAGAAAACAAAGACAAGTACAAGTGAAGTTTGTTTATAAACTTATTTCGAGAGGATCACGTGCTTATGATTGCATGCGGCTGGTCTCGCATTTATTTTTTGATTCACCAATCAGACGATTCCTAAACCACTATGAATACCTTAAGTTCATTATCACAGCCATCTTCTTTTTGAAGAATCCCCCCTTCCACCCCTACTCCTCTTCCTTTCCTAAAAGCCCAAAGGTTAGCACTGTTGCCTCATAGCAAGAAGGTTACTAGTCCTTACCAAGCCAGCTGACCTTTCTGTGCAGAGTTTACATATTACCCTGGTGCTCACGTGGGTTTCTTCCAGGTTCCCCGGTTTCCTTCCACTGTCAAAAAACATGCAACTAAAGTAACTTGACTAATCCAAATCGGCACCATACACATGCTCTTAGTAAGTAATTATCTCTTAAGAGCAATCACTTTCTGTTTATTAGCTACTATAGCAGACGAGTTCTCGAGATCTACCCGAGCTTAAACTTCCCTTTCGCCTTGCAAATGGGAGGGAGCCTTAGGCTTGAGGATTGTTAAGTGTAAACACTTAAAATGAATGAAAACAAGTAGCAAAGTATGTCATCTTGCCATCTCCTCATCACTCCAGTTTACAGCAAACATGACATTAAGCATTTGCATATATTCATTCATTCATTTTCCTTTGGCTTAGTCCCTTTATTCATTAGGGGTCACCACAGCGGAATTAACAACCAACTTATCCAGCATTTATTTTAAACAGTGGATGCCCCTCCAGCTGCAACCCAGTACTGGGAAACATTTGTTATATAAGTTTTTACAAGAATGCAAACTCACAAAAATAAGCGTAATTTATGCGTACTTGCCATGAACATGCAGGAATTGTCTCAATCAAGTCTTCCAAGCAAGTTACAAATGTTTAAATCCAGTGGAAGATGCACATGAGGGAACACAACATGAGTAATCCAGAGCGAGTGCATTTGATCATTTGCATTTAAAGCCACAGGCACAAAAACAGCTTGGTTTTCCTCTGACCCCCAAAATTAAATCTTCTGTAAGGTATATGATCTGATTTTGAGCTGAAACCTCAGACACATTCTGGGAAGACTTCTTTTACATCTTGTAAAAAAGGTTTTATGATAGAAATCCTTTAAAGGGATTGTTGATGCAGAAATTAAAATAGCCTTACTATTTAATGTCCCTCATGTGGTTTTAAATCTTTACGTGTTTCTTGGTCCTGTTAAACACAAAAGAAGATCTTATGGAAAAAACTCTGGCTTTCTTTGTGTTCCAGAAGAAAGGAAATGTTTAAAACCACATGACACAGAGTAAATGGTAAGGTCATTTTTATTTGTGGGTGAAACATCCATTTCATGCTTGTCGCTTTGTGGCTTCATTCTAAAAGTTCATTTGTTTTTTTTTTTTTAAGACCTGATGGTGCTGAAAGAAGAGACTCATCAATGGAATGAAATGGAAGACAAACATCAAGACATATTGACTGATGAAAAACCCACACTGACTAAAAAGACTTCATCACACGGAAGACCTCGGAAATCAAAATCTATGTGTAATTTCAGCAGTAACCAGTGTAGAAAGAGTTTCAGTCAAAAGCCAAAGCTTGATGTTCACAATAGGGAGAAACTTTACACCTGCAAACAGTGTGGAAAGAGTTTTCCTAAAATTCATGGCTTTAAAGCCCACATGAGAATTCACATTGGAGTGAGGCCGTACAAATGCCAACAGTGTGGAAAGAGTTTTACGCAAAATAGCAACCTTGAAGTTCACATGAGAACTCACAATGAAGGAAGAATTTTTACTTGCACACAGTGTGGGAAAGGTTTTGCTAAAAAACACAACCTTAACATCCACATGAGGATTCACGCTGGAGAGAAACCTTACACATGCACAGAATGTGGTCAAAGTTTCCCATATAAAACCACATTCAATAGCCACAGGAGAATTCACACTGGAGAGAAACCTTACAGATGCACAGAGTGTGGTAAAAGTTTCACACATAAAAGCACATTCAATAACCACAGGAGAATTCACACTGGAGAGAAACCTTACACATGCACAGAATGTGGTAAAAGCTTCACGCATAAAAACACACTCGATAACCATAAGAGAACTCACACTGGTGAGAAACCTTACAGATGCACTGATTGTGGTAAACGTTTCCCATATAAAAGCACATTCAATAACCACATGAGAACTCACACTGGAGAGAAGCCGTTTGCATGTGCTCAGTGTGGAAAGAGCTTCAGAGCCAAAGCTAGCCTCATGAATCACATGAATGGTCACACTGGAACCATAGTGTTCACATGTGATCAGTGTGGAAAGAGTCTCACACACAAAGACTCCATTAAGAACCACATGAAGACTCATTCGGTAGAGCGTTTAAGATGCAGTGAGTGTGGAAAGGGCTTTAATTGTAAAAGAAGCCTCAGTACTCACATGAAGCTTCACAATGGAGAGCAGAGTCCTCAACATTGAGGCCTTGCCCACACAAACACGGGTATATTCTAAACGGCAGCTTGTTCATGTAGTTTGGCTGTTCATTGACATGGTTTATTTATAAACTACTTTTGAGAGGATCATGTGCTATGATTATCCACAGCTCGTCCTGCATTAGCTAACACACCAACCAGATGATTTCTAAACCACTATAAATAACCAAAGTTTCTTATCTTAGTTATTTTCCACCTATCCACACAAGTGGATAAGTTTATCTATCCACACAAGTCCCACAATGATAGTAACCATTTCAACAGAATATATTGACAGTTCCGATGTTGTACTTTTTTCAGAAAATACTTCCAAATCAGGAACACAGGCTCCTATTCTTGTAACCCCTTATCTGGGTCTTTAGATCCATCTGTATATATTTGTGTACTCCAATAAAATTTTCCAGCTACAAGCTTATACACATTTGGCTTATAGTACCTGATTCCTCCCATTTATTTCTTTTGTCCAAGATCTCAAGATTGATTTCAACTTCAGGTATTATCCATAAGGGGACTTCACTCCATACTGGGCTTTTATTACCCACTATATTAAATACTTGGTGTTTTATTTTATTTATTTATTTTTTGCTATATTATCCCATCCAAATCCTCTTCCTCTATTATTAGTATACTCCCAACAATCTATTAAAGATTATTTTACAATGTTCTCTCCAGCATAGCGTTTAATAGATGACCAATACGCCAGCGCCAATTTCTCCCTACGCAGATATAATGGTAATTCATTTGTTTCCACAATCAAAGCATTAATCTGTGTTGATTTTACAGCTCCTATACACATTCGAAGTGCTCTATATTGAATCCTATCTAGTCTTTTTAAAATGGTCTTTGATGCTGCCGCATATATCACACACCCAAAATTAAGTACCAATCTTATTAAAGCCTGATACACTGTGAGCATTAATGATCTCTCTGCTCCCCATTCTTTGCCTGCTAATGCCCTCATTGCATTTAAAGTTTTCCTACACTTCTTTTCCACTTTCTCAATATGATTTTTCCATGTGTACCTGCTAGATATTTAAATTCTTTAACCTCTCTCCGCCCCGGACAGAGCACCATGAGCGGGATATTTGCCTGAACGCTGATCAGCGAAAGCTGATTGGCTGCCTGTATGTGGCTTAGAGAAAGCTGATTGACTGCCTGTAGGCGCTCGACGATAGCTGATTGGCTGCCTGTTCCTTAAACAGTCTCTTGACAACAGAGGGAAACATTTCTGGACAGAAGATTCAGTTGTCTTCTTCAGTCTCTTCAGAGGAATATAACATTGTTTCTGTGCGATCCCTGATTGTATAATACCTTCATTCAAGCCTGGCCCAGAAGTTTTTTTTTTACATTATTTTATATTCGACTGCACAAATCTTCCCAGTACATGTCAAACAAAGACATTCCCTCAATTACTAATAGATCTCGGATTTCTTTACCTGTTTGCGTGAATTTTTGGAATATATTTAAATGACAGAATTGTAGAAGTTTTAAATACATTCCTCTTATAATAAAGTTGGTGAAGTCTCTACTAATAACGGTTCTCCACTAAATCATAAACTTGCTCAGCCTAATAATAATATTTCCCCAACTGCTCTTTTCTGTATTCAGTCTGAATCCACTGCCATGAAGTATACTTATGAAGTGTTTTGCATTGACTTTTCCAGTTCTCCTAAAAATGCTTATATCCAAACTTTTGTATCCTTTAAAATTTTATTTTTAGTTACTATTTGAAACTAGCCTTCTTACTATACATGCATTTATAGCGTCTTTCTACATTTGGCATCCAGAGATTTTGATATGTATGTGAACTATTAATTACTCAAAAACATCAGAATGTTATTTCACATTATGTCCATATAGGACTGCTTCAATCTTGTGAGACATCAAAGGCACTTTATAGTGATAATGACCCAGTTAGTGAAACTAAAACATGTAGTAGTAATGGGTACTTTTTACTTAAAGGGCACCTATTTTACCCATTTTCAAGATTTAAGATGAGTCTTTTGTGTCTCCAGAATGTGTCTGTAAAGTTTCAGCTCAAAACACTCATCAGATTATTTGTTATACATTTTAGAATTTTGGGATTTTCTGCTTTAAACACGTAGTCTTAGTGGATTATATAAATTTCAAAATTGTGTTCAAATGTTCATATTAAAAGTTTTGATCAACTTCAAATACTGAATGTCTTTGTATGTGAGAGAGATAGTAGATGTTGTGTGAAGTGGAAAACGAAGGAGAAATGTCTCATGTCATGACTGCAAATGTGAGTAGCAAAAAAACTAAACAAAAAAAGACTTTGCCAACAGATTAAAAACAAATCTTGATTCTATTATTTCTGAAACTCAGTCTGGGTTTATAAAAGGCCGCCATGTTTCTAATAACATAAGATTAGTTTTGGATTTGCTCGATTATGCTGATTCTATTCATTCAGATGGTCTCATTCTTTTTCTTGATTTTTATAAAGCCTTTGATACGATTGAGCACCAGTTTCTGTTTAAAGCATTGAGGTTTTTTGGATTTGGGGAAACTTTTGTTAACACTATGGCTATGTTTTATAAAGGAATCAATAGTTCATTGATTGTTAATTTTAATACTTCTAATGGATTTAATATTTTGTGTGGTATTAGACAGGACGGCCCAATCTCTTCCTTTTTATTTTTATTAGTTACAGAGTTTCTATCCTTAAGCATTGTGCAAAATCAAGATTTGTAAGAAATTTCTGTTTTTGAGAGGAAGATTAAGATTTCACAATTGGCAGATGACACCACTTTATTTCTAAAAGATGACTGAAACGTATCAAAGGCTTTAAATTTAATTTCTGACATGTCAAGTGTTTCTGGTCTAAAGCTGAATATCTCCAAATGTGAGAATCCCTGTTCATAATTTGGATTATGAATATATAGAAGATATTCCTGATAAATCCACAATTAAATATTTATTTATTTTTGTTATTAAAAATCTTTTAGTGAGACAGCACTTGAATTTTTGTGTCTAGGATCAGCAAAACTAAATATATTCTTAATTGCTGGCTACAATGGTACCTGTCATTATATGGAAGAGTTCAAGGCAAAGGGTCTTTCTCATTTTGTATATCCCACTTTATCTTTATTTGTTGAGAACAAAGTGGGCAAATAAATTAATACTGTTTTCTTAAAATTTATCTGGAAGAACAAACCTCATATATTGAAAAAGGAAGTTAATTTTAATAGTAAAGCAGAGAGAGTGTAAATTTATTAGATTTTTCTGACACCATAAACATTTTTAAATTAATTGGATTAAGAGATGCCTAACCAATCCAACGTCTATTTGTTTTTTTTTATTCCCAACATTTTTTTTGACAAAATCTGTAGTCTTTTGTTTCTTCTTAAATGTAACTATCTTCTATCTTTAGCTTTGTCTAAATTCCACCAGCAATGTCTGCTTGCTTGGAAGCTTGGTTATGTTCACAATTTTTCTCCCTACCGATTATTCTTATGGAATAACTGAGATATTACAAACAAAAACAAATAATTATTTTTCCAAAGTTGGTTTAAAAATAATATTAATAGGATCCTTTGGTAAGTTATAAATGGTTCACGAAAGAATGTTTCCTGCATCATCAAACAAGCACTTTTTCCCAACTTCTCCTAATGAATTTAATAAAGTTGTTAAGGCAATATCACCCGGTTTAGTTCACCTAGTTAAAAGTCACTGTACATTTAACTGTAAATTTGCTTATAGAAGGTGTTAGTCTGTTAGATAAGAAACATAACAATAGCTTTGTGCGTCAAATTTTCCAATTTAAAAGGAAAATTTCATCTAGAGGAAAGTTTTACTGGAGGTCTTTAGTTAAGGTTATAGACTGGAATAGAACCTGGCTTTTACCTGGGTAATATTGCATTTCCAACGAGACGAAAGAAATACATTTTACAATTTTTGCATAAAATCTACCCTGTAAATTCTAGTATTTACAATTTTTTGGACATCGACAGCTTCTGTTCTTTCTGCAAACAAGCAGAGGAGACACTACTATAGTGATGGCTAACCCTGTTCCTGGAGAGTCACCTTTCTGCAGATTTCAGTTGCTACCAATATCAAACACACCTGAACCAATTAATTAGGACCTGAACACCACGTAATAATTACAGGCAGGTGTGTTTGATTTGGGTTGCAACTGAAATCTGCAGGAAGGTGGCTCTCCAGGAACAGGGTTGGCCACCCCTGCACTACTACATGTTTTTTGATTGTCCAATATCCAAGCATTTTTGGTCACTTCTAAATTCTCATATATCTGCTTCAGCCAATGCTGTGAATTGCTTTAATCTAAAATACAATTTTTATTATAATAACCCAAAAGCTAAATATCTGGAACGCATCATACATTTTTTTTAATCTTATATGGCAAATTTTACGTTCACAAACAAAAATTCACAATTAATTACCCATCCTTTGTTCATTTTAGAATAGAATTTATTTCCCTCCTAAAATCACTTTATCTTATTAAGAATTTAAAAAAAATCCAAGATTCCTGAAATATTATGCAGATGTATTTAAAGAAGATTCTCGATTTTAGTTGCTTTCCTTACAGTTATTTGTTAATGTGTCATTCTAATTTCATTCATTTGTTTAATTTAGTAATTTTATTATTATTATTATTAATAATAATAATAATACTTTAATTGTATTAATATTTTTCCCTTTCTTTCTAATGGTATTATTTGTATTTGTATGTGGTTTTAGATATTTTTTCTTATGACTATGTAAATTATTGCTCTTTTTAAAGATCTGTCTGATTTTGTTATGATGTTTTTGTATTGTCAGTTCAAGCATTAATTGTAAAAAAAAGTGAATCAACTGGAGAAAGGTTTGTTTTAAAGCTTTTACACAGATATAAAGCGATTGATTAAAGTTTCAGGTTTTTCATCCAATGATGTACCTGCTGTTGACAATATTATTTTAACCCTTTATACAACGTAATACTATTTTACTCAAAGAGGACCATTGAACAACGTGCGTGTATTAAGTGTCTTAATGAAGGTTTAATTAATTAAATAGCATAATTTCACTTCATACTAAGTATACATCAATTTATATAAGAAATGGAGTACTAGTTATATAAGAAATGAAGTACTAGTTTTAATTAGCTTATTTATTTAATTAGCTGTTGTTTCTTGCTCGGACTTACTGGATTTATTTTGTTAATTACTTTCATATAAAGAAACTGTTGAAGAAAAGTTATTTTGTTACTATTCATAGTTTAATTTATTTTAAACAGAACATTTTTATTGCTTTGTTAATTATTAACAAGATAAAGTGTCCAAACACAGAGAAACAATATACATAATAAGTCATGACTCATGACTAAGAGTAAGTGGCAAAAAAGGTATAAAAAAGAGACTTTTATTTTGGCGTGACATGTGACGTCATAAGCCCGCGCCGCTCCCAAACTGTGATTCAACTGGAGAAAGGTTTGTTTTAAAGCGTTTACCCTCAAATTAAGCGATCGAATAAAGTTTCAGTTTTTTCATTCAGTGTTAAATTATGTACCTGTTGGCAATATTATTTTAATCCTTATACAACGTAGCACTATTTACTAAAACTCATAGTAATGAGGTCTATTTTTTTAATAAAGATAGGATAAACTTTTTGTTCCCGAGAGGAAATTTGTCTTGTGCAAAAAAGTGCTATAAGCAGACAATAACATAAATAAAACAAACAAAACAATTAAGAACAGTAACAGTGTGTAATAAGTGTTTTAATGAATGTTTAATTAATTGAATAGCATGCCATTTCATTCTATACATCACTATATATGAGTACTAGTTTTAATCAGCTGATTTGTGGCTATTGTTTCTTAATCGGACTTACCTGATTTCTGTTTGTTAATGACTCTCGTATAAAGAAACTGTTGAAGCAAGTGTTGAAGGGAAGTTATTTTGTTTCTGTTCATTGTTTTATCTATTTTAAACAGGACATTTTTATTGTTTTGTACATTTTAAACAGGATAAAGTGTCCAAACGCAGAGAAAAACTCCTGCTGAAGCGACTGATCTCCACACTGTTATAAAGATGGCGTTTATTAAAGAGGAGAGTGAAGACCTTAAGATCGAGGAAACAGTCGAACATGAAGATCTGCAGGAACAAACAGGTAATTTTCATTCTCAAACACCAACTCAGTCATTTGATCCTCATTCAGATATATTTTAATAATAAGAAAACTAAATTAAATCCATCTTGCAGCCCTGAGTGTGATGCCTAGTTCTCCTAAATGCAAATAAGCACTTATTGAAAGACAGGAATCAGTTTCTTTCTTGTTGCTTGATCTCGTGTCTTTTGTCATTATTTTATGTATTATTAGTCTCCCATTTTCTCTACCTTCTTAAAGGGTCACAAAACACATTTTTTGAGCTGTTGACAGTCGTATATGTTTTTGCGTTTTTTTTTTTTTTTGGGTTATTTCAAGCAAATTCATACTTCCGGTTTGAAACGAATTTTTGAAGCTGCGTCACGGTCATGGCATAATAGCGTTGTATTGAATAATAAATAATATTTGAATAAATAATATTTAAATAAGCAACAAAGGTATTAAGATAACTGTCTCCCAACAATAAAACCAGTTTGATCTGGGTGAATTCTTTCTCATGACTGACTCCACTCTGATTGCCAGCACTTTAGCCAGGATAGTATAATCACAGCAGAGTGAGCTGATCAGATGATAAGATTCACATTTAAGTGGATTCTTATCCTTTTTAAGAAGAAGTGTTATAACAGTCAATGTCATGGAGGGGGTGAGTGATTTCGAGACAAGATCAGCAAATACCTTGCACAACAGGGGTGTTAGCTTGCAAATAAACTTCTTAAACTCTTCCGGGAAGCCATCAGGGCCTGGTGCTTTTCCGGTTTTCAATTTTTTGATTGCATTTTCAATTTCAGAAGGTGTTATATTTCCTT